TGTAGGAATAGTCGTAGAACGAAACTTACCCTTACTGCGAATATGGTGAACACAAGTAAGGGCATCATCAGCGCAGTGTCACAGTATATCAACGCATGTGACACCTGTAACAGTGACGGATAAGATTGCGATTGTCCGTGGATGAAACCACCGTCCAACTCACCCCCTCAACACGGACAGTCGGAATCCCACTCCCTCAGCCAGAACATCCCCTCAAACAGCACCCTCTCATCTCAAACCACACCAAGACCAGCGCGATGGCGGGCGAACGCGGGGTAAGGAAGCGCTTTGGTGAGCGTATCGGCGGTATTGGCGGCAGTGTGGACATGGAGGAGTTTAATCTTCTTCCTTTCGACACCTTCGTGGATGTGATGGTATCAAATGTTGATGTGCTTGGCGTGGCTGTGGAGTGACTGATCATTTGACAGGGTGATGGCCGAGTTGTTGTCGCAGAGTAACTCTGTTGCGTCCTCGGCCGGAACGGTGAGTCCACGCAATAACATTCGCAGCCAGTACGCATCCTTCATCCCCTCGAATGCCCCGATGTATTCCGCCTCTTTTGTGGACATCAACACGACTTTTTGTTTCTGTGAAGACCACGAAATCGCGCTGGCGCCGAGCGAGAAAGTATACCCCATCACGGACTTGCATCCAGGGTCGTTGGCGTAGTCTGCGTCGGTGTAGCCGGTGAGGACAATGGGCTCCGTGCCATCGAGAACGAGCGCCATCGCGCGCGTTACCCTTGAGGTACCGAAGGCACTGAATTGCGGCCTGCCAGTGCGCTGTGCCACAGCAATCCATGAAATTGGCGAGTCTGCTGATGGGGAACGCGATATCCGGGCGCGTCCCGATGCATAGATACATCATGGACATTACCAGCGAGGTGTATGGGCATTCCGCAAGGTGGGAGGCATCTTCGCGGGATATTGGCAGGGCGTCGAATGCAGGGCGGATGAGTTCAGCCTTGCATCCATTGGTAAGCGCGGGCAGACAGCGTCGGTCTGGCGGAATTGCACGACAAGATGGTCAATCAAGGCGGTCTGGGAGAGTGAAATGGTACGGCGTTCAGGATCGCGGATGACAGCAATACCTAGACAGAATTTGACCTTGCCAAGGTCAGAGATTGCCCACTTTGAACGCAATTGTGACTTGAACAGGTCGTTCGCAGATCCGTCGCTTGCGGCGCATAGCATGTCGTCGACGTGGACCGCGACGAGGTTCGTGACGCCACCCTTGATGTGTACGTACACACCACTCACAAAGCAGCCGCCAGAAACCCCATTCCAGCATCGCTTTGTGCATAGTGCGGTTCCATGCGCGTCCCGCTTGCTTTAGGCCGTACAGTGCCTTCAGTTTCCACAGCCACGATTCCTTCCCCTAGACTTCGAAGTGCTTGGGCTGCCGTGCGTACTGGACCTTGTTGGGTGGAAGGTCGGAGTTGAGAAAGGCTGTCTTGACATTGATCTGCTGAATATCCCACCCACGTGACGCAGCGATGTGCAGGATGGCGTGGAAGGATTCCAGCCGAGTGGTAGGCGATGTCGTCTGCTCATAATCACGTCCATATCTCTGGCGACACCCGAGAGCACAGTAACGAACTTTGTTCCGGACAACCTCCACGAACTCGTTGCGTTTCCACGTGTAAACAGGCTTGAGATCCAGCACAGTCTTGCTGGTCGGCACCTCCGATGGCGGGACTATCTCATAGATGCCAAGGTCGCGCAAGGCCCTCAGCTCCTCGTGGGTACCCTCGATCCACTTGGCAGCGTCTGACGAAGCCATCGCCTCCGTATAATTCCACGGGTCATCCGGGAACTCAACGTTGATTGGGTTCTCGGCAAGGTATGAATTGATCTGCACGAGTAACGCGGTCTCAACCCCATTGTCCTCCTCCAGCGACATCTGAATGGCCTCCTCGATCCCCTCGAGGATAGCCATTTCGCCATTGTCATCGACGCTGTTCCCAGCAGCGTGATGGACGACAGGAGGGCGCCCGGGGTGGAGTACGGGTACGCGAGACGGTGCGGGAACCTGCGGGCGAGTAGAGCGGCGTAGCGGAGGTGGAGCGGGGGTAGGGTCAACAGGGGGAGGATCTACGAACGGAGCAGGATCGTTAACAGTCGGTAGTTTTGATGTAGACATAGTAGGATCAAGAGTCAATTGATTGTTAGGCACACTATCGGTGGCAGCGGCTGGAACTGGTGGGCACGCGATACGTTCAGCTAGTAGATCCTTCTTGTAGTGCACCTTCTCCATCTGTCCGGATTCAATGAAGCGTACGTTACCCGAATTGAAGATCTTGCCGGTTGAGCATTGCCAACACCGGTAAGCCTTGCAATTGGGGACGTAGCCAATCAGGACACATTCAATGCTGCCTTCGAAGACCTTGGGGTTGTGGCCTTCAATGAGGACAAAAGCGCAACAGCCTATCTCACACAGGTGGCCCAGGTACGGTTTGAACTTTTCAAATCCCTCGTGGGGAGTCTTGCCGCCCTGAGCTCGTGCTGGTGTTCTGGCTGTAAGATACCCGGCTGTGATGCAGAATTCATCCCACAGGTTAGGCGGCGCACCGCAAGCGATACGCATCGCACGGGCCTTGCTGTGGATGGTCCAGTGGAAACACTCGACCTTCCCGTTGAGCTTAGAGATGTGCGGCGGTGTCCAGATGATGGCAATCCCCCGAGATGCGCACAACTTGATGAACTCGTCCGACTTCAATTCCCTGTTGTCGACAATGTAGGTCCCAATTTGCTCACCGGTTCACGCACACGTCTCAAGTTCCCAGGCTTGGAGGATGGCGAAACAGGAGTCTTTATTGGGGACAGGGTAGACAAATCTGCGCGTTGTGCGCGCATCAACAATATCAAAAGTATACTTGTTTCCGCTTCTCGATTTTGTCGTGATCCTCCCGCTCAAATCAATGTGAACAATCTCGAGTTGACGCGTCATGGGGGGGGATAGATCGCTAGACACTCTTGGCACATTCGTGCGGGCCTGTTTTCCGAGGATACAAGCGTCACAAATGGGAGCGTCGATAGACGGATCAAGGTCCATACCGTCAGCATGGCCCTTGGCGTACATGTCTGCGACGTCCTGGTGGTTCGCGTGCCCAAGGCAGAGGTGCCAGTGGTGGAGGTCGTGAGCGGAGACGGTAGCAGCGTTGACGGAGAGCGATGTGGGGTAGCAATCCAGCTTGTAGAGATTGCGGGTCGGGTGTACGGAGCCAGAGCACAGCACAGTGTCCGCAGAGTCCGTAATTCATACAGCCTTCTCGTCAAAGTGAAATGCGTACTTCTCCGCTTGGCAGAGGCGCAAAACAGAGAGAAGGCGGACTGATGCGCCCGGGACGTAGAGCGCGTTTCCGAATTGGGATGCAACAAGAAACCGCATTTGAACAGACACCCCAGGACCAGGCACAGTGGCTCTCACCACACTCAAACACAACCAGGCAGCGTGCTCCAGACACATTTGCGCATCCTAACACAACCATATTTCGGGCTTGGACCCCGTCTTCTGGGGCACGGCCATCATTCGTTGTCGACTCCACCTGAATCCGTAGCAACCCGAGGGTTTGTACCTGCATTCCCATTGGTTCGGGTCTTCACCTCAGCAAAGGCACCACAAATACCGTCGTATTTTGCCTTGTGTTCGGACTCGCACCAGTGCATCCATTGATTCGGGTCCTCGCCAAAGCAAGACACCCGGAATACGAGCATATTTCCCGCCTCGTGTTCGGGTGTTTCGGTCTCCTTGCATGTTCTCGCCCTGAATACAAGTGTGTTGGACCTTGGCAGATGACAATGGACCATTCCCTTGGGTCGTCTCGATATACGCCAGGCCCCGGAGGCTGTGCCGCAGCAGGTATAAAAGAGGCAAGGTTTCTGAACAGTAGACATTTAATTCGGGAGTCTATCCCTGGGACAAGTTTGCCCACTTGTACTCTCCCACCCAATACATAGGATTTGACCACCACATCACAGTCCAGACTCGCCTTTGGGCTCCACTCACCGTTCCTTTGCAGCTTAAGTCCTAAGCTCGCGTCCCACTCACCCTCTGCAGCTGTAACCCATTGCACTCACAGTACATGCCAGCCTGAGCACACCAACCTGGAACAAACACAGCTCGCGACCCTTACGCACACCTCCCACAAGTGTCCAACGCTAATCACCCTAGAGGACAGACCTGCTAAACCCGTGAAGCCGACTTCCTTCACACCGTAGCACTGCAGTCTATATCACAATGTATAGGATCAGTGGGTATGAAATAGAGGCAAGGATATAGCCACAAATGTACCAGGTGGATTTGAATCAGCCAGAACTGCAGCACGCATGGAGACTCCTAAGTCTGAGGAAGCCGGCGAGGACCCGAGGATCTCTCTCAAGGACTGCGCCCAGCTCAACGCCTCGTACAATGGTAAGTCTACCTTGTTTTGCTAAACCGTTCTAGTGGGTGGCAAGCGTCTGGGGAGCCACTCTCTCCGGATGATCCTTCCATGGTCAGTGGCGAGGCCGCTGTCGCGGCGTCCCCCGCGATCCTCCTTCGCCGGGTACATCTTTGTCAATTCCTTTTTATGCCCGAGCTGACATTTCCTTTTTTGTTAGATGTGAAACAAGATGGCATTAGGAGTAGTACTAGCTAGTACTCTTCCATCACCATAAAGACAGATCACTCGGAAATACGACCAAGTCATCCCTTCATTTGCTACACTATTGTTAAGGTTGGCGGGGACCATGTTCTTTCAACCCCGCCTGTTTTTTTTTTTTTTTTTTCTTTGTTGCTCGTACCCATGTTCCAACTGCTCAACACGTGCCTGCGTCTGCGTCTTCTACCGCTACAGGACAGCTTGCTACGGTTGCCGCCATGGCCACGCAATCAAGCGCAATTTCAACAACCCTGGTGTGAACATGATGCTTATGCAGGACCGGATGGAGTTGTTCCGGCAACTTGGTAGCCCAGGTACGTGTTGCAGTGCAGAATGGATTCGTTCCTTGCACACTATCAGCAGAATAGCTCAGTTGGATATAGAGCATCCCCCATGATAAAGCATGAGAAGGTCCTGGGTTCAAATCCCAGTTCAGCCAATCTTTTATGCTTTATCATGGGGGATGCTCTATATCCAACTGAGCTATTCTGCCGATAGTATGCAAGGAACGAATCCATTCTGCAACACTCCCACGGTTTCCCAGCACTATTGGCATTCCACCGAAGGGGCACCAATCTTGCCTATGCTTTCCTATGCTTTCCGATTGACTCTAGTTCGCACGGGGCCCATAACCTGATAAAGCATAAAAGATTGGCTGAACTGGGATTTGAACCCAGGACCTTCTCATTGCATGGGAGATGCTCTATATCCAACTGAGCTATTCTGCCGATAGTGTGCAAGGAACGAATCCATTCTGCAACAGTACGTTCCCCTTCGGACCCTTTTCCAATTTTCACTAACACCCTTTCCAGTCCTTGCAGCTCTTATTTCGCAAGTTGTCCACACGCACCGCACGCTCGACCTCCACTGAGCGCTACTTCGCCACGCTCAGGAGGACCTGGAGAGCGCCTCAATCGAGTTCGCTAGTTATTTCTTCCGCACGCAGGAGTCGCTGCTCCCACACAACTTTGCTCTTTGTTTCGAGGACGAGGCCACCATGGAGACCATTGGCGCGCTCTTCGAGTGCTTGGACATTATCCGCGAAGATGCCTTTGAGCGCTGGGACGAGCTACACCCCAACAACCCGTGCCAATTCTGTCCTGTCCCCGACATGGCCAAGAACGATCCCTCGTTGGGTATTCATCCCATCCCTGTTACTCAGTGTAGCATCTGGATGGACAATGTCAACATCCTCACTTCCAACACCTCGGACCAACCACCTCGCACCCCCCCGTCTTGGCGTCCGAATTCTGTGGCTACCTGCCTGGCACCTTGGAGGTGTGCCCTTTCCCTGATGCCGTGGTGTGCGAGGTGCGCGCTTTTATGTCTGAGGCGCCCCGCAATGCTGCCTGCGACCCCATTGGGTTCCTCTCGGACCTCCAAGGCCACTGCCGTCCATTGCCTGCGCCTACTGCTGGACCTTCTTCGCCGCCCCCAGACTCGCTGCCAATGCATTTCACTCCACAGCATGCCCGACGTCTGCCTTCCCCGGGCCCATCCACTCTGCCAGCGCGCCTGCGCTCTCCTGACCCATCAGCGCACCATGAGAAGCCCGAGACAAAGGCATGGGGGACCGTCATCCTGTGCTGCTGCTTGGAATACGCTTGGGCTAGACAGAGTGAACCCGGTGTATTATGAAACTATCAAGGTGTGTTTCCTCTGTTGTCCTTCCGTCCGCACAAGCTAGCGACCCCACAGCTCCTCTACACTTTCCCCCAATCTGTCGGCATCATGGGCGGACAGCCCTTGTCATCTTACTATTTCATTGGTGTGCAAGGTGAAGGCCTCTTCTACCTCAATCCACACCACTCGTGCTCTGCGGCCGTTTGTCCCCGATGCACCTCATCCAACACATACCATCCACACTGCCCACAGCACCCACATGACCCCCTGCACACATGGGACCACCGCTCGCTGAGCCCGGAGACGTACGTGCGTGGGGGGTTGATGAGCCCCATGCACGTGTTAGAACACGCAGCACAGAGGTCTGAAGTCGACAGTAAGAAACTCGGTGTAATGTGCATGAGAGAACTGGCTACTTGCCTGAAGTCAATAGTAAGAAACTGAGGACTCAGGCCTACACTAGCCTACTTATATATATGTAGAATGTACAGCCTGTATGCAGTGCATGCATACATAGCATAAGGCTGTGGCATAGGAATATGTATGTACAGCAGTAAGGCTGTGACACAGGAATATGTATAGCAATAACACAACATGTATGACAATGAGGCTGTGGCCTAGGAGTATGTACAGCATGTATGACAGATGGATCCATTAGGATACCACTGCATACAGCATCTAAACTAAGTCCATGTGCGAGAATGGATCAGTCCAATCAGTCATCTCAACAGCATGTGCAGGGTCGATGAGTCCCTAGGCATATGCGCGCAGGGAGGTCGATGAGTCCGGATGTTTATGCGTGCAGGGGGTCAATAAGTCCGATGATGGAGCACGAGCTCGTGGTTAACCCGTGCGCAGCAAGCGAGAATAACGGTGACACGAGGACAAATGCCGTGCAGATGCACCCGACAAAGAACACGACAACGCACCAAGCCGGTGGCCGTATTTTGCGCATGTGTACAGCGTGGCGGACCTGCGGACGTTCCACTGCGAGAAGGTCCGCAAGATGCCACTGATGGGGCTTGACCCCAGTATGCTCCTTGGCTCCGTGTGCCGCAATGAGGCGGAGTGGGTGGATTTGAGGAGGCGGGTTGGGGAGGTGGGTCGTTTTTGCTTTGTTTTCCTACTTTACAGTTGCGCGTCTTCCTTCCACGTTCCTTCCTCACCATCCATATTGCGCTCCTTGCCCCCTTCCCTGTTTACCCCATTCTCCTTGGATCATTGTCTTCACCTCTGTCCTTCCTTCCTTCAATCTTCTTCTGCATCTCGTGCATCCTCCCCACTGTCCTGTCTTCTTCCTTGTTCCAGTTTTCGTTTTCTCCGCTTTCACCAGTCTTCCCTCGCCCGTGCACGTACTGATTTTCGGCCCCAGCTGCCCCGTACAATCTTTGCGATCCAAGACGAGCCTCCGATGTGGCTCGGTGCGGACGACGACGTACGGGGCAGGCGCCAAGTGCAGGGTGTGCAGCAAGGGCGGGGTGGGGGACCTGCGGGGCGTTGGCACAAGATTAGGCGCAGGTGGGGTGCGAGGTGCGTGCAGCGAGTGCAGCCTGTGCGGCATGTGCGGGGTTGTGGCAGTAGGGCTAGGGTGCGAAAGATGGTGTGCGCAGAGTACAGATTTGGAGGAAGGTAAGGCATTGGCAGGATTTAGAATGTATGCAGCGCTGGCAGAGAATAGGCAGGAGGAACCTGTGGACGGACAGCAGCCTGTGGAACCACAGGGCGGAGAAAGCAGCTAGATGAGTATGGGGTCAATTTGGGAGATTTCTGTCATGTTAGGCGAAAAGTGCTGGTCGAGGTGGGTACTGGGGGAGGGGGGACACCAAGGGGACGTCCGTTTGTTGGAACAAGGCGTAGATGGAGCCAGTCACCTAGATTGACCAAAGACAGAAGCGGGTGAGTGTACTTTTATTATGATGTCCTTACATGATTCAGGTGTGCATATGTGGCCATCGTACTTCAGCACTCACGTCATCACACTGCGATCATTGGAGGGAGGGTTGATGGGGTAAATAATCCAGGTGCATCCGCTACAATAGTCGTGTTCTATCTCTTACTCATGCCATCGCCGCGATTCAAGCTGCCAACGGCGCAAAATCTGTGCAAGATGCGGATGCCGAGCAGAGCGCTTTGGAAACGTGGATCATCGAGGTATAGTAGCCAACCACGTCCTGTGTGGCGGCTGCGCGCCCCGCCTAGCGAACATTTGTACGACTGGAATCGTCTCCACCATCGCCATGCCCGACCCCTTGATCTTGGGCGGCGTGGGTTGGTGGAAAGACTACTTGGAGCTCATTCGCTATGAAAGGGCCACCGATGCGCTGCTCGATGCAAGTACATTTTTCTTTACTCCTTTTGATTCACATCTTAAAACGCCTACAGGGCGTATCTATCACCTACTCCGGCCCCAACGACTTTGCTACGGAAATCGCAGGCCTCCACCAGGAGCGCTATCTGGTTGCCGCCCAACTCATTGTGGTAACCACATTGTATCTCACCCTCGCCCACACCATCAATCCGCCAGCGCTGGTACCTACCCCATCAACCTGCATGCACATGGTGCTGCATGCCCTTCAAGTCGTGCTCCACCTGATTGGTGTCGAAGTCGCCACCATTTCCAGGATGCATGCCTGCGCTGTGGAACACTGGCTGTTCATCATAAGGGTGCTGGGCCGCACGATGGCAGGGAGCAGGTGCATGCGGGGAGCAGGTGCATGTGTGAGGTAGTCAGAACAGACGTACCTTTTCTGCTCGAGCGCAAGCGGCGTGGCGAGTGAGTGGACTGTCTAGCTAGAATTGTACCTTCGCTGTTGTGTATTCCTAACCCTCATCCCTGTATTGTAGTACCTTTCTTGTAGTTGAATGAATCCTGATGTGTTGCAGAATGAATTTGTTCCTTGCACACTATCGGCAGAATAGCTCAGTTGGATATAGAGCATCTCCCATGCAATGAGAAGGTCCTGGGTTCGAATCCCAGTTCAGCCAATCTTTTATGCTTTATCATGATGTACCAGGCCTTTCGAGTGACAGTATGGGCGTACAGCGCCCAAGGAAGTCGATGGAGGCTGACGGGTGGATAATCGCTGCCAATCCAAACTGAGCAGCATTAGCCCAAAGCAAGTGAGATAAAAACTAAGTGCGCACATTGCGGTGAAGGAAAAAGACTTGATTGCGCGTGCAGGTGAGCGGTTCCTGCTGGTTCTTTAAAAACGACTGCATCGTGCTGTGGTGCTCGCCCTTGGTGCCTAGCATCTGGTGGTGCTTGGCGCTGGACAGGGCGGGGTCAAATAAGGTCAGGTTCTGTGCAATATAGAGGGCACAATTGTGCGCACCCTTGGCGTTGTTGTTCAGCTCGACCCATTGGGCTTGCATACACACCGCCTCGCAAAGAACGTTCGCTCAGCAGCGTAGGCATCAGCGCGTCCGGTCTTGATGAGGGACAAGAGACTCTAGGTGAGGTGTAAGCATAGGGATGTGCAGGATCAGAGACGTGTACCGATTCCGTGTCGACGAGGGAGATGGCACACCAGGGACCTGAGCGGCAGCTGTGGCGGTCCGGTGGTGATGGTTGCCTTCTGAGGCCATCCTCATGGAGGGTGCATCTGAGAAGTGGTAGATGAATAGTGACTAGCAAAGCACCCACCCATCTCCCCTTGGGCGCAGAAAAACCGTGCATCATCTGGATGACAAAGAGATCCTCCTCTGGGGCGACGAGCTCTTGCGGCGTGAGGGAGGGGAGGGAGTAGGGTGAGTATGCATTTGTCCGTGGCCTCGTCGCGCTCTTGGTTTTTTTTTTGTTGTATGGTCCTGGAAAAGGTCAGCATAGGTGTAGGCAAGGAATTATGCACCTTGGACGGCGGGTTCTTCGGTTTCTTGTTAGGCTTTGAAACCCCTTTGGTGTGTTTTAGTGAGAGACCAGAGTCTTGGAGGTGCTGGATCGCCGCCGCTTCAGGAGAGGTCAGCTGGTGCTCAGGATCTTCGAGCGTGGTGGTCAGAATGGCGTGCAGGGTGAGGAATGTGTCGATGTTGTTGCATAAGTTGCCCATCGTGTGGAGGAAAAAGGGTTGTCAAAACGAGGGAGTGGTGGTCAAGAGCAAGACATGAT